GGGGGGGAGTGGACTACAAAGGCAAGAAGTGACTGGCTTACAAGCTTTCAAGAGGGAACCTAGTGCTAGGGAGCATGGAGTAAGGCTGAATTTCCAGCGGGTACTATTCAATCTGTCTGGGCGGATCTGATGAAAGGAAATACAGATGGGTAACTCGTGATACTGTAGTGAATAATGCTTATCAGGACAGATTATAAGGGTTGGAAATGCAAAGGTAGACATTTTGTAACAAGGTAGGGAGTGATTAAATCTCCAGTCTAGGAGCAGAGGTCTCTGGGACCATCAACAGAGAAGAGTGAGAGCGTTACCCTACCCAGAGAAACAGAGATGCCTGAGATGGAGACAGAGAATACAACGTGGAGTGATGAAGCAGCTGGGGACTTTGGATCCAGAGAGGAAAAGGGACTGTGGGCCGAAAACTGGGGGGCGGGTATCTAGCATATACCCTTTGGTTGGTGGATGATGCATGGAGGGGATTAGAACCATGGCAATGAGATGATATACAATGGAGTGAATGTAAAACTAAAGTTCTCTCATGTAAACTATCATACAATTCACAATAAAACACTTTTAAAAAAATGAAGGTGAGTTATAATCTATATTCAAATAAAAATAAACGTTAAAATCAAAGTTCTGATTCTTTAATTAACAAAGGTGGCAATAGCTACATTATTTACAATTAGTGCAACTTACAATAATGTCATAATGTAGCAGAGAACTAACATCCTTGGCTTTCAGCAACACCTCCCAAAGAGTCAGGGAAGATTTCACTTGTACACCTTAAGACTCCATAAAGAAGCCACAAGCCATCTTTAGATTAGCTGTCATCATAAAGTGACCCATCATGGATTATAAAGGTGAAAAGAACTCAATAAATATAAAAGAAGTCCCCAAATCTAAAATAGAATGATTACTGTACCTAAGTGGTCAGCTAAAATCTGCCATACATCAATGTATATAAAATCAATTTTTCAATAAGAAAAAAAAAACCCACATAAATACTTATTATATTTTACATTATCAAACAATAACTTGAGAGCAGATATATACTTTTCTTTTTTTCATTGCTATGTCCCCCAGAGCTTAGAAGTTGTTGTTGTTGTCATTAAGTGTCATTGAGTTGTTTCCAACACATAGAAACCCTGTATAAAAGGTTTCCAAGGAGTGAAGGGTGGGTTTGAACTGCCAATCTTGCAGTTCAAACTGACTTTGCAGTCCAGTGCATTATCCTGAAGCTTAGATGGAGATCTCACTAAATATCTATCTCATGAAAGAATCAGAAAACAAATAACTTGTCGACTTATTTATGTTTAGGAGTTCCGGTGATGCAGCAGCTAAGTGATCTGTTGCTAACCAGGTCTGTGGTTTGAACCTACTGAGAGAAAGATGTGGTAGTCTGCCTTCATTCCGATGATCACAGCCTTGAAAACTCTGTGGAGCAGTTTACTAGTCCACAGAGGCATCACCATGTGTCAGTACACGGACTCAACGACAATTGGGTTTTCTGATTTAATGTTACGGCATTCAAGAAAGGTGTCATAAAAGTACAAAGTTTAAAAATTCAATTTATTTAAAGTGTTCTTTCTATTTCTAGATGAATTGATTCATTAATCCTCTGATTTGGCAGAATATAATGTCTGAATGTTTTCAAAGGGATAAAGAATCATCTTACCTTCTTTTTCTACTCTGAAAACGAAAGTTCTTTGTATTGTGACAACTTCAAATTTGTTGTCTCCTTGAACTCGTACTGTAGATACAGCAGAAAGGGGGATTATTCCTTTTGAATACATCTCCTATATTGGTTAAAGGAAAAGAGAGATACAGAAGACACATTAAAATGAAATTCTCTTCATCTTACTCAAAGAGAGAATGGCAAAAATAGTTGCCACTGTTTCTCTTTTACAATTTCCAAAATGACATGAAAATAGTATGCACACTCATACATTGGCTTAATAACCCACAAAGGAAATATTAAATTTCCCCTTTCTTTTAAATGAGCTGTCTTTTCAATTTTCTCTTCATCTGGAATTAAAAAGCAAAGAATTAAAAAAAAAAAAAAAAAACCCACTAGAATAGTAATATACAGTGCTCAAAAATAGCAGGGTTTTTTTTTTGTTTTTTTCCCTTTAAAACAATCTGACCAATATCATTTTATGGTGTTTGCAGACATCTGCTGGGCATTCCAGGTACTGTAACAGAACAATTTTACAACCATATATTGTGAATCACAGGATTATATTTCATATAGGAAACTGCTGGATTGAATCACTTAGCATATCACTCAGTGCTCTCATAATGAAAATTTTAATTCCATAACTGCATCACTTTATTTCTGTCAGCCCCCCATCACATCCCTAGTAACTGAAAAGTAGAGAAAATGGATTCACTTGTTTGTAATTGGTGTATACATCGACTGTTGCTCAAGAAAGTAACAATTAGATTCAAGTTTTTCTCATGCTTCATTTTCCTGGGCCCTCCTAGAAAGTTGGCACAATGGCCACCCTACAATTTCAGCTACTGAACTAAGGATTGAAACAGAATGTATACATTCAAGGAGTCTGTATATGAGAATCCAGATAACAGAATGACAGCAAAGTTTAGAATTGGAGACAAATCAAGATATAGACGAATACAAAGTTGGACAATTCCCATGCTGCTTCAAAAGGGTCAGGTGGTTTTCACAAGCATGGTAAAACTTGAGGACCCTTAAGTTTAACCAAATAGATAAATGAAGAGGGCAGCTTATCGAGTTGCTCTAAGTCTGAATCAACTAAATGGCTTTTTCTTTTCTTTTCTTTCTTTTAAGTAGAGAAAAGGGCAGTCACAGCGTAGAGTCAAAAGAGATAAGACTGAAATCACACATTGTGGACACATTATAGAATGCCTAGAACATGTAAAGAGTTTGGATATATCCCGTTTAGGTTCCCTTATGGCCTCTCTGGCCCTGGATTTGCAATCTCCATTAAGAAGTTTTATCTGGCTGTGATCCTGAAAGGAAAGGCCAACACTGAAATTGAAGAGAAGTATTCCTATATAAATGGTCAACCCAACAGAGTTTGCAGGATCTTCTAATCAACAAAAGGTTGCAGCAGAGCAAATCCTTTGGATATGGGATCTCCACATTGAGAACTTCCTAAACTAAAAACCAAATGCTCTGCCATCAAATCAATTCCAATTCACAGCGACCTTGTACAGTGTTTTCAAGGTTGTCCATTAGAAAAGGAGAAAGCCTCATCTTACTCCTGTGGATCAGCTGGTAGGTTTGAACTGCTGACCTTGCAGTTAGCAGTCGAGTCCTTATCTTACAGTGCCACTGAAGGCTGTAGCACAGGTAAAAGGCTATAACTCTAAGCCAGTAACACTGTAGACTGGGGCACTGGCGACAAGACTGTGGCTATGCAGCCCATGAAGACAGTACAGCAGAGCCAAGGGCAACAGAAGGGCAGCAGTGTGAGGCCAACCCAGCTCTTGGAGCAGAGCAGACAACATCGTAGGGCCAAGCTAGCCTACTGAAAAGGTAGCAGCAAAACCACAGCTGAGCTGAGACCTGTAACACCTGGGAGCATGGGAAGACTGTTTGGAGGCTAGTATAGCAGGGACTAGGGTTCCCCTCATTGGAGTTCTGCTTAGAAAGCTATTGTGATGCTGCTCTGGAGCTACGGCTGGCCCAGGGTTACCTAGAGGCTTCTAGGTGAGATCGGGACCAGTCAGTTTTAGGACCAGTGAAGAAGAGCCACACAGAAAGTTAGCAAACACAGTCAACCACACCAGTGGCTATCTGAGGTAGCAACACAAAGCCAACATATGAAACAGACTGCACCTACTGGCACCTGAGCCATGGCATGTGCATCCAGTTACAGAAGAATGGACATCAGTTTTTAGAAAAGGGTAAACAGGTGCCCTTCCAGATCTGAGTGGGTCCCTCTTGCAAGCACACGTAGGGCTGTTCACCATAAATCTATTCTTACTGTTGGCTATTTGCTTTTTACAAATAACAATAAAGGATTTAATTTGCCAGCCCTGTGGTGAGTGTCTCATGTGGACAGCTCAACTGGATCAGAGAGACACAGCATCCACTGACGGTATGGCTACTAGTTGGTGTCCCCATCCAACCATTCTATGGCTGCTTTCAATTTTGAAGTGACTTGCATATGTCCACTATCTATGGGGTTTCTTCTCTCTCCTTTCACAGCACAAAACATGATTATCTCCACTTTTGAGCAGGTCCCCAAATATCTGAAATCACTATTTAGGGAAAGAATATACTAAATCACTCCAAGCAGAAATCAAGTACCATATTCATCCTCCTCTGGAATCCCCTGCCATTATAGATAAGTCAGGCAGAGCTATGGTCAGGGACATGAGGTTTAACTGGAAGTGTTAACCATGTGGTTAATGTGCACATTAACTGCAGGATAATGTGCTGGACTGTAAGGTCAATTTGAACCACAAGGTGGGCGGTTAGGCCCACTGGTCGTTCCTTGGAAACTCTGTACAGGGTTGCTATGGGTTAGAACCTACTACGTCACTCAACAACAACAAGAAGACCTTAATACATATAAAACACACCATCTTGGTTTTTCCTTATTTATTCGGTAGCATCCCTCCATAACTGACTTTGATCCCATCCCACATCACTAAAGTTACTATATGTTGTTTTTGTTAAGTGCCAACTCATAGTGACCTTGTGCAGAGTTTCCAAGGAGCAGCTGGGTGAGTTTGAACCACTGACCTAGTGGTCCAGTGCTTATCTTACAGCACCACACCAGGTAGACATCAAAATATGATCCATTCTTTAAAACTAGTGTGATACCACTGCTATAAAGGTTTTTCTATCTCCTCCCATGCAGCCCCCAAACTGAATATGCTATTTGAACTAGGATTTAGGATGAGAATGATCAACCTCACAAAGAGAGATTTCAAAACATATACCTAGAAAATGGTTTTGTTTATGTGTGTGTGTGTGTGTGTGTGTGTGCGTTTTGGTGAAAGTTTACACTGCAAATTAGGTTTCTATATGACAATTTCTCCTCACACTTTGCAGTAACATTAGTTACATTTTTCATAATGTATCAATATTGTCTAACTGTGTTCTAGTTGTTCGGTTTCCAGTAGTCTAGTTCCCCTGACCTGGTAGCATAGTACTTTATGCATTGGCTGCTTACCACAAGGTCAGCAGTTGGAATCCACCAGCCACTCCCCAGGAGGCAGAGAAGATTTTATGTTCCCATAAAGATTTACAGCCTCAAAAATCCTATACAAGATCACTATGAGTCAAAATTGACTCAAGGGCACACAGCAAGAGCAGCTCCTTTACCTGCCCCCTTACTCCATCATCTCTGCTGTAGACTAACTGCTGAATTTTTGGTCTCATACAGATGTTTATGGTTTGTTTTTATTTTTTTAAAGGAGCACAATATTCATAGATAGTAGCTTTAATTTTGTGTGGCAATCTGTTATTTTGCAAAAAAGTTAACTTCATGATATAGTTTTGGTTCAAGGTATAAAGAGCATTTCAAGACAAAAGTCTCAGGGAGTCCTCTAAGGTTAACTAGCCCAGTAAATCTGAGTCTTTGTAAAAATCTGCATTCTGTTCCACGCTTTTCTCTCATTCTATCACGGTCCATTTATCATGGCTCTGATCAGAACCTACACAATGACTTATTCTCTTTACATTTTTTTACTGTATTCCCTCTACTTCAGAAAGCCAATCTCTTCTCATCGTTTCAACTACTAACTCTATACAAAGACAGTCTAAAGAATCTTTCCTTCCTTTTCCATTTCACTCAACTCCACTCTCATATTTTGAGTCATAAATGAGAAATATGGCTGTCCTATAAGGATCTCAAAGAAGTACTGGAGTGAGCTATACGATAAGCACTAGACTGCTAACCTCAAGGTCAGTGGTTCAAACCCACCAGCAGCTCCTCAGAAACCTCATGTTGCTGTGGAGTCGGGTCAGACTCATAGCGACTCCATGTAGGGTTTCCAGGAGTCCTGATGTGGCGCTGTTAGTTAATGTGCTGGACTGCACGGTCAGTTTGAACTGCAAGGTTGGCAGTTTAAGCTCACCAGCCTATCCTTGGAATAGCCTATACAGGGTTGCTAAGAGTCAGAACCAACTCCATAGCACTTACCAGCAACAACAAGAGGGTTTCCAAGGAGCAGCCGGTGAGTTTGAACCGCCGACCTTGCAGTCCTGTGCATTAACCCACAGCATCACACCTGGAAATCCTATACAGGGTTGCTATGAGTCAGAATTGACTCAATGGTACCTAACAGCAGCAACAACAAAAAGATCTTCAAACTTAAAACTAAATTCAACATCTCTGGGAAACATCCCCTCCCCATCAATCTCTGCCCGTTAAAATGCCACTCTTGTAGTTACACAGTCTTAAAGATAGCATGCAATTGTCTTTGACTTACACTATCACATTTGTATAACTTGTACTTTTCCTATATATACAGTGTTAATTTGTTTCCCTGCCCCACCCCTAACTGAATTAGTCTTTTTGAAGTTCTCTGAATATATGGTGATCCTGTCCAATTCACTACTTTGCATATGCAATTTTCTCAGCAAGGAATATGTTTCATGCCCATTGCCACCTAGTTACTGCCTGCCTCCTTGTCCTTCATATCTCTGCAGTAATATATGCTTCTGACTAGACCTTTCTAATCAGCTCCTTCTTCCAGGCGCTCAGTTCTCATTAGGTCAGATCACCCTGATTTAAGCTTAGAAGAACCTGTAATTTTCCTTTAGAGCAATGACAAATAATTAGGATGGAGATTTAATATTTATTTGTCTGATCATTATATTAATACAGTTTCTCCAATAGTGTATCATGGCTAATTTTTTACCATCTTTCACAGAGTGGGTATAACTATTTTCTGAATAAGTGAATTCCATCTGCAATCAATTGCAATTATGCAATTTCTGACAGCTCTTCATTTTTAATGTTTGTTTCTCATTTCATTTTTTATCATTTCCACTAAGTTTCCATATTGGTCGGCATCCTGACAAATATATGCCTGGCCTGCTGCAAAGCTCTTCTGATTTGTCTTCCCAGGTTTAGCTTGTTTTCATTTTAACTTCCTTGCATATTATTGTTCAAATGCTACACAGTGGGAAGACACAAAGAAAAGCTTCATGGAGGAGGAGACCAAGACTGGTCAGGAAGTTTGCACAGGGTTTTGATGGATGGCAATACCTAGGAGAGGGTCCAGATGGAAGAGAAAAGACATGTGAAACACAAGGAATATGCTGAACTTTGGGAAGAATTAATTGCAGAGAAATACGAGACCTAATTGGCTTAACCAAAAAATTAAAAACAAACAACAAAAAACCACCAAATAAAAATTGTTGTTAAGCTCCACTGACTTGTTTCTGACTCACAACAACCCTGTGTAGGGCTCGAGGAGTTGCTGGTGGGTTTGAATTGCCATATCAGGGCCCCTTTAATAAAAGTTGTAGTTGTTGTTAAGTGTCATTGAGTTGGTTGCGACTCAGCAACCCTGTATAGGGTTTTCGAGGAGCAGCTGGTGGGTTTGAACTGTCGAGCCTGGAGTAGTTAGGTTAAATGACTATTCTAAGCCAACTAAGTCCTCTAGAATTTGAGACGAGTGTCTTTGCTAGGTAATGTTAGGAGATGGAAGAGGGTACAGTACCCTTTTTGAACAGTATAAGGGTCTCTCAGCTGTAAGTTTGTAGTGGCCGAGACCCTGGAAAATTAGAACGCCTAAAAACATGTATCCCCTTACCCCTATATCATCTGTGCTCAAATCTAAATTTGCCTCAGAATTAGAAAAAATTAAAATAGCACAGACTTTAACAAAATAATTAAATATTTGTTGAATAAAGAGTTACCATTAACCTATTTTTCAGTAAGAAAAATCAGGCAGCATTGTAGGAAACAGGAATAAAAATGATTCTCTTTCATCTAGATAGTTTTAAAAAGATTAATAAACAATTCCTCAAAAAACAAATTAGCTTGCCTTGCTGCCTATAGTAATGATATATTTAATAGGATAGTACTTAAGGAAGAAAAACAGATAAATTATCCAGATGTGATCTTAATGAACTTCACAAGCAAAAGTAATACGTCATTTAAACCTCAGGAAGCTATAGTTTCTCAACAACTCATTACAGTCTCTAATAAGATCCCTAGAAAAAATGTTGTAATTTTTAACATTGTAGAGTTCATTTATAATTTCTTTTATAATAATACAAGATAAAGACAATGTAAAGAGAAAAAAATACTCAACAACAGGCTCAAAATGAGTGCATTTTTCATAGTATACAATTTTCCTTAAGGAAAGAAATTTTAAAGCATCCCTTGAGCCTGTAATGCACAGATATCTAGGTCAAGTTTGTCATTTATCTACCACTTTCACACAAGGAAATGACTACAGGGCAATTCTCTCCACGCTGAATGAGAATGGGGGTGAGTTAGATTTCTTAGCAGGTGATAAGGTATCAAGGCTGTTTGGAGGATGTCATTGTCTGTGATACAATGAAACAGCCTTTGCAGAGAATGACTGAGCAGCATTAAAGAAAATGGAAGAAAACTCAGAGAACAGGTGAGTCTGCACCTTCCCTCCAAAAGTACTCAACCACATACTCCTCAAGTACACATTTAAACACTGAAAGACCTAACACCTCTGATCAACCTAAGCCACAACGACACCTTCAGTTTCACTGGCTGTAGAATTCACTCTTCCAAATCCACTGATCTGTTCCTTTTGCCAGAAAAAAATCACAGCAAACTGAATCTTTACCTCCTCCTAACAAACCTCACTCCAGTATTTTGGTATTTTTTCAATATAAAACCAGTCATTTGAGAAGCAAAGTGATGTAACGATACAAGAAAATAAAACAATATTTTTAAATGCTTGATTTTAAGCTGAGTGATTTGTAGCAACTGGTTTTAATATGAACTTTTTATCTCAATTACAAACCAATCCAGGGTCATTTTTAATTGTATCACATTGTATCACTATGTAAAAATGTGATAGAAGCATATCTCAGTACAGTTGAGAAGAAACAGAAGACAAACTGAGATGAAAACAGTTCAATTGAATAATTAACTAGAAATGCTTTCTCTTAAAGAACACTGTGCTTGGCAGAGTGGAGGGTTAGCAAAAAAGAATATGATTCCCAAGATGAACTGACACAGGGGCTGCACCAATGTGCTCAAGCAGGACAATTGCAGGGAGGGTGCAGGATCTGAGTACTATTTCCTTCTGCTGTGCATACAGTTGCTATGAGTTGGAACCAACTTGAGGGCACCTAACAACAGCAATCAGGGATAATTATATCACCAACATCAGAGCTTCTTGGTAAAGAAGCCTGTCTCAATCCATAATTTTTTACCCCCTCATTTCTATCAAGCCAGAGAAGTGCACGAGGTGCTAAAAAACCCCCAGCAGATTCCATCAGCCACAATGACTATTTTAAATCCACTTATTAATCAAAGGAGCTCTGGTAGCGTAGTGGTTACGAATCAGGCTGCGAGCCGCAAGGTCAGCAGTTTGAAACTACCAGCTGTTCCGCGTGAGAAAGATGGGGCTTTCTGCTCCTGTAAAGATTTACAGCCTCGGAAACCTTGTGCAGGATCACTGTGAGTCGGAAACAACTCCACGGCCCATAACAACAACATTAATCAAATAACCAAGCAAGCTAGAAACAATACCTAAAGCAGAAAATGAGCTTTTAAAGAATATTTATTCAATCATACTTTATCTGGATCATTGCAAACTAAAGCCAAACAATTAGCACTTCTCTAAATCTTCCTCTGAGTGCAGTGACAGTTCAGCAGAATTCTTGTCTTCTATGAAAGAAACTGGGGTTCAATTCCAGGCAAATGCACCTCAGAGCAGCTATCACCTGTCTACTGATGAAAGCTTATGTGCTCTTTTATATTGAACAGGACTCAGTGGGACTTTCAGACTAAAATAAACTAGGAAGAAAATCCTCAAGATCTACTCCTGAAAATCACTCAATGAAACCCAACACAATGGTCTGATCCCATTGCATGGGATCCCAATGTGCTTGGGGACACCATGAGCTGAGAGCTGACTCTATGGCAACTAACAATAAAATCTTTTATGCTTAGTATTATAACAGGCTGGTTTTGCTGCAAGTGTTAACTTTCTGTCTAAATGCATACACTCTCCAGTCTAAAAAGGAGACACTTTTCTGCTCTACAACACTGAAGAAACAGTGAAAGGGAATCTAAGTCTCTTTTCAGGTCACAAACATCACTGATATTTGTAGCTGTTCCTGTTATTAAGTGCTGGTGAGTCGTTTCTGACCCATTGCAACCCTGTATAGAGTTTCCGAGAAGCGGCTGGTGAGCTTGAACCGACAACCTTGTGGGTCAAACCGACTTTGCACATTAATTCACAGCACCCCACCAGGGCTCAATCACCAAATTAGGCAATAGAAATATTAAGAAAATAATGTTAGAATATAAGCTACACACAGGAGAATATCTGTGTTAAAATCAGTATGTTAAGACTATAGAATCATCCAATCTTAATATACTAAAAATATGGCTAAGAAAGCAAAAGTCCATTTAAAAACTTGTCTTAAAAAGTAAGCAATCTAAAAAAAAAAAAAATTAATCTAAATTTTAAATGCCATATAATATATATATATATATACCATGATTTTATAAAGAACTAAAGATCCCTAAACTTTCATAATTCAACTTTCTCAAGTGGATTTTTTTAAATATAATTCTATATACAAAAAAATATTTTTAAAAAAGAGAAAAAGAAAGCAAGAATGGGTAAAGAATGCTGTCCTAATGAAAACTGAGACACACTCCTCAGTAAGACTCAATTGCCTAAAGGATGTATTCCAACCACCTGCACATAATTTTCAAGATTCTCAATGAGCTCTAACTCAAACCACCTTCCTCAGCTTCATCTCCCATGAGTTTCTTTCACATTATTCTCCAGTCAGAGAGAACTAATCCATTCTACCATAGGTGGTCCACACACTTTCCCTTGTGATCCACAGTGCATTCTCGGCTTCATAAGCCCTGTGCTCCTCAGCTTCTACAGGTACAAATAGTCTTTCTTTAAGACCCAGAGAAAATGGAATATCATGCAAGAAACCTTCCCCGTTCTTCTATAAGCCTTACCAGACTAAGAAACAACATGTCTTGCTTTTCCATTTTCTAGCTGTTGTGTCACTGTATGTATATTCCCTTTTGTTCTCTAGGACAAAAGCAATTTCTTATTTATTTTTATATTGCTTATGCCAGTTCATATACTTTATAAATGACAATCCATAATTATTTTACTTACAATAAGTAACAAGAGTCCCAAGTACTATATGAGTCAAGGAAAAGTGAAACTATGAAAAGACAAATAATGACTTTCAAATTATTTCATGTTGATAATCCACTTACTGTTCTTGATCATAAAAATGTGTGATTAGTTTACTGAAGTGTATTTAATATGCTTAAAGAAATTACTGAAAACTGTAAACTATACTTACCTTCTCATTATTGTAATAAGAAATGCAAAGGCCATCAAATTTCACCCATCTCTTCTGAAACATGCGTTTTCTGTAAAATATATGAAATTATTATTTTACAATCGAATACCATGAATTTTTATTTAATATGCATTTGCAATTTAACTAAGTTGAGTGCTTTCATATCTGCTATTAAATGGTAGAAAAGAAACTGTGACTAGTCAAAATTCATTTTAAAAAGGAATAAAAAATAAAACACATACAAAGTTAAAAATTATTAAAAGCATGATAAACAAAGCAAAGTAAGTCAATTGCATGTTTCTTTATTAGACTTGAAAGGAAAAAAACACATGATTTTGCTTACTTTTTAAGAAAATGGTATATATAGATCTTGTCTATTTTGGCTTGGGTGTTTTTGTGTTGTTTTGTTTTTAAATTCCCTTTTCCTGGTCAGACAGTACTAAAAGTTTTAAACATCCTCTCTTATGCATAGAGTCCTGGTGTGATGCTGTAGGTCAATGTGCTGGACTGCAAAGTTGGTTTGAACTAAAAGGTGGGCAGTTCAAGCTCCTCAGCCACAGACAGAAACTCTATACAGGGTCACTATGACTCAAAACCAACTTGAAGGCATTTAGCAATAATCCTCTGCATGGCTTTCACTTTACACTGACAGAATATTGACACTTTAGCCTTTAACACAGATAACATTTGAAAACTAACTTCATATTTAAAAAGTCATTTCTGAAGAAATAGTTAAATATCAATCATGTCTACATTTATTTTTCTTTTGCAGTTTTCTAACATGATTAAGACAAAGATTTTGTAAAATATCTGTAGTTTTAAAAAGATTTAAAGATAGAAATGATTTTCTAGGAGTATGGAAAACTTCCAAGCTGCTTCCTGAATATGGTATACTATAACTCACCAGCTGCTCCTTAGAAACTCCATACAGGGTCGCTATAGGTCATAATCCACTCAACGGTACTTAACAATAAGAACAACATCACTCTTTGGAAGGCAAACAAGGCTCGATGTTAAATTACCAACAAATTTATTTTGCAATTGTAACAAAACTGGAAAGAATTTAAAAAATTCATCAGTATAGCTGCTGCATTCACATTTAAGTACTGAATTAATTATCAATTAATAAGAGCAGGTAACACACATATAATAATTAAGTTCCCAGCCTTCTTTCCATCTTATTCTATCATCTTTCTGCTTCTTTATAACTTTCCTGGGCCTACCTATAATGTGTTTTCTTAGCATTGCAACATCCATCAATGTCACAGTCTTCTGAATTTTTACTTCTTCTAGCAATCCAAAGGTTCTTCAAACTTCCAGGATTAAAAGTTCAAAAGTAAAGGAATAGGACTTCTGGTAAGGCAGGACAGCCAGAAAAGGTAGGGACTTGCTCCAGCAGGAAAAAAGAAGTGGGATCTCACAAAGAAAACATTCATAGACCAGTTCCATGGCTTTTCAACTGTCATAAACTCTCATGGACTCACATTTTTGAGAAATCACGCTAATAAGGATAAAGAAAAGCGCGTATTTTGGGACTCTTTCCTGTGGGGACCACGGGTCGCTCCCTCAACAGCAGAGTTTGGAGGGCGGGGCCAGGACTGCCCGGTTCAGAAGGTGGCTTCTCCCAGAAGGGCCAGAGGCGATATAACTTCCTCCCGCCCCAGGTCTCCCTGCCCTGACTTGACACCCCAATAGGGATCAGGTGGGTACATCTCATCCACAAATGGAGAGTGTAAGAAATTCTGCAGAGTGAAAGAAAGGCTGCAGTAGCTTCTTGACTTCACCCATCATCCCCCATCTGTCGCTGCAGCTAAGCCCCCTACCCCCACTCCTAGCTAGCAGTGGGATCTCACAAAGAAAACGTTCATACACCAGTCCCATGGCTTTTAAACCATCATAAACTCTCCTGGACTCACATTTTGAGAAACTGTGCTAACAAGGATAAAGAAAAGCAAGTATTTTGGGACTCTTTCCTGCAGAGACCGTGGGTCACTCCTGTGACTGCAGAGTTTAGAGAGAGGAATCAGGGCTGGCCTGCTCGGAAAGCTGCATCGCCCAGAAGGGCCAGAGGAGATATAACTTCCTCCCACCCCAACTCTTCCCACCCTGGCTTGAGATCCCAATAAAAATCAGCCGGGTACAGTGCACCCATGCACAGAGAGTTCTTGTTGACTACACATCCCTCCTGGAGGTGAGAACTTATCCTTCCTAGGTCCCATAAGAAGAAGTAGCAATCATGACCATATAGCCAAGCTACAACATAATACTCCACCACTTAGAGGACACCCAACAACATTTGCTATGCATTACAGACGAAAAGGGAAACCCATCTCCTGATCACATTAATAACAATAATAATAAAACAATAACCATGACCAATAGGAAACAATCAACTTTATAAAAGCATGTCCATAAACAGAAGAAAGGAGCTGACACAAATGAACTGGAGACAGACAAAGCCTTCACAGAGGAAGAGGAGCGGGTTTTGGATATGCCTGTGAGGGAATTCAGAAGAATGATATGGAAACAAATTCAAATAATCCGAAAAGGGGTCGAGGAAAACAAGGAAGAAGTAAAAAAAAATTATCAAGGAACAATCAAATAGGATAGACACAGCATTGGAAACAATTCAAAGCCTGCAAAAAGATGCCCAGGTGATCAATAATAAGATATCAGAAATAGACAATAGCCTGAAAGGGGAAAGGAGCATACTAGAAGAGATGGAAGCCAGAACTAGCAAGCTGGAAGACAGATCTCTCAATACTGCCAAGGTAGAAGAACAAGCAGCTAAAAGGATAAAACAATCTGAAGAGAGTCTAAGATTCACGCTGAATAACATGAAGAGGAATAATGTAAGAATTATTGGCATTCCGGAACAAGAAGAAACAAAGAAATCCACAGAAGAGATCGTCGAACAGCTTCCGGAAGAAAATTTCCCTAGCATCTTGAAAGATGAGAGGATAAGCATTCAAGAAGCCCAACGTACTCCAGGAAGGATAGACCCCAAAAGAAAATCTCCAAGAAATAATAATCAAGCTCTCAAAAATCAAAGACAAGGAAAGAATATTAAAAGCAGCCAGGGAGAAGAGAAATATAACCTAAAAAGGCAAGCAAATAAGATTAAGCTCTGACTATTCAGAACAAACCATGCAGGCGAGAAGGCAATGGGGAGACATATACAAAGCTCTGCAAGAAAAAAATCTGTCAACCAAGAATTGTCTATCCAACAAAACTAAAAAATTAAATATGATGGTTCGATCAAAACATTCCAGGATAAACAGAATTTGAGAGATTTTATCAAAACCAAGCCAGCACTTCAAAACATCCTAAAGGGAGTTCTGAGGACAGAGAACCAAAAAGAACAGACAACAAACAGAGATTGACAAGTATGGCAACACCACCTGGAACACACCCAACAGGCAGCGGAGTCCAGAACAGAACGAGACTACAATGACATAATCAAAAGAACGGGGAGACAAATGAAGGCCAACTGAATGCCAAAAACATATCAATGTCAAAGAAGGGACAAACGCAGCAATGGAAGCCCAGGTGGTGAGGATGCCAGGTAAATTACAGGGTACATTGTAGTATCCTAAATGCAGAGAAAAGTTAGTAGACTACAAGGTAACCCTAAAGAAAGCTAACATTCCACAACATATCATAAAAACGAATTCCCAAGGAGATGAAGAGAACAGAGAAACTAGGAGGAAACCGACCAAAAACAACTCAGAAGACATAAAGCCAACACAAAAAAGAAAGCAGAACCAAAGAACGATCAACACCACCAAAAAAGTAACATAATGACAGCAATCAATTTGTACTTATCAATAATTACACTGAATGTCAATGGATTGAATGCACCAGTGAAGAGACAGAGAGTGGCAGAATGGATAAGAAAACAACATCCATCAATATGCTGCCGGCAAGAGACACACCTCACATACAAGGTCAAAAGCAGACTAGAAGTTAAAGGATGGAAGAAAATTTACCAAGCCAACTGTAACACTAGACAAGCAGAGGTTGCCATATTAATCTCCGACAAAGTAAATTTTAAGATGAAAACCAGCATAAGAGACAAGGAAGGACACTATCTCATGATTAAAGGGTCAATCGAGCAAGATGACATAACTATAATAAATATATACGCCCCAATGAAAGAGCACCAAGATACATGAAGCAAACCTTAATGGAATTGAAAAAGGAAATAGAAATCCACAATTATAGTGGGAGATTTCAACACACCACTCTCGAAAATGGATAGAACAACCAGAAAGAAACTCGACAATGCTACAGAGGAACTTAACAAAACAATCAACCAACTTGACCGCATAGATGTATACAGAACATTCTATCCAACAACAGCACAATA